AACACGAATATTAAATGCCTGCACGGCCCGGTTGAACTCGTGCCCCCCCGGCAGTGCCCCCGCACTTTTACCAAGCGCGGGGGAAACGACGCGTTCGCCGCAGAATAGGCCAGTGATCTGTACGGTACTCGTGTAGCTTGCTAAGGTGCCAAGTAAATTTAGAGAATTTTAGTAGAATTCATACGATGAACACAAGAGCTTTCCATAACAATGGCCTTGTGCCATTCTCACAATTTGTAGCAGGGTTGCCGTTTTGATGCCTTTTAAAATTGCCTCGGCTGGCCCATCGTTCATCTTAGACGAAAATTCAAGGCAGATTTCTCACATATGCCCCCAAAAAATTGCCCTTACCCCGTGTCGTCGCCCCTTAATTCGAGGCCTGCCGCGTATGATTGTTTCGTGCTGAACGCCACTTGTTCGTGTTGTTCGCCGCATTGTGAACGCAGTTGTTACGGCTGTGAATGCCGAAACTGGGTAGCGCCCTCTAACCTAGACTGCTTACCCGTTTCGCTAGCACGACGTTAGGCGTAGGCCCCGTGTTGGAAACTGCTCGACCCTGGATGCGGGTACCCAGGCTATATTCTATACCGCGCTAACCATAAGCCTCGACATCTCGGCGTGTTAACGGTTTTTAACCGGACTTTAGCACACCAACTAAGTACCGTGGTAATCAGCTAAGCCGTGTATACGTGGTGAACGCAGCTTATAGGTCACTCGCGAATTTACCACTCGTTCAATTGATAGATATGACAACAGACACAGGCTCATTTACTTCAAAATAATATTAAAATAATATGCAACCATTATTTAAAAATGCCAAGAATATGTATGGTAGCCTTATCTATAGTTATGCATAGTACTTTTACAAGTTACGAGTTATTACTAGTGCGAAGACATGGTCTGGAAAACTAAGGAATTTTCATTGGACTGGCCGGCTTATAATTTACCGGGATGTAACTGCCTTTGGTGTGTCGCGGGTACTGGAGAATGCTCATGATGCCTGGAATAAACTCACCATACTTTTTTCAGGGCACATTTGCCAAACTTGCCCACACTTCTATTGAACAAGTTTCCATATGTGATTGATCCATCGTCATCAAGCAGATCATTGACCTTCCCTAATAAAACATTAATTTTCACTCAGTTTAGAGCCTAAAATTAACATACTTAGACATTATTACTAGGTTAATTAGCTAGCACAGGCCACACTTGGAACGTGTCTATAATAAAAATAAAGTAAAACGCATAAATACAACACGTGAAATGTATGTGTTATACCAAAGTCTTAATGTTTCTCTACTTCTATATTCGCCTATTATGCCCGATAATTACTGATAGAATACCGCTCATATGCTCACTCGGCAAACACACAATGTACACGCACGCATGCCCATGTGCCACAGACAACAAGAGAGAATGAGAACTCTCTTCTTGTTGCTTCAAACAACTTGTTGTTGTGGCCACAGGGCGATGCCTGATGCGGTGTACTACATGTGTGCTTGCAGCATGAGCATGTTGAGCGCGTAATTTACAGGCTAATTATGCGACAATAACAGGCGAAATAGATTTAGGTATTATAACACTGTAGGGGGTACTACTAGCTCTATCTGATAAGCCGTCTATGAGTTCCCTGGTTGTACTGCCGGAACTAACCCTGGCGTACCGGGTCCGGTGCTTATACGCGCGAAGGTACCCTGCGTAAACTATCTGATAATGCGTTTAGGCAGGCGTTCGTTCCCCAGGAATGAAATTCAAACAGGGGCGGAGGGCAAGGGTAGCTGGGTGGCAGGGGAGGGGAGGCGGGTGGAAACTAGCGGGGGAGGGCCACTCGGGGAGCGGGGAAACTAGAGTCGCCGGGGTCGGGTCGGCGCGGTGTATTTCCTACCGTACGATAATTAACATGCGTAAAAGTCGCAGCACCACACCCACTAGTCAACAAATTGGTTGGGTATTTGTGGTTCTTGTAGTATTACTCAACGATAGCCCGAGTCGGGCTTGTGTACTGCAGTCGTGTTGGTACAGTGGCAGCCAGTGCTTAACTGTCTGACATTGTCAGGTGTTGCGCCTTAAGTCTTAGGGCGCGCGTACGTATGGAATGACGCCGCTAACGTGGCGTGCTTGCCGTGTACGTGGTCCTGCAGCGGTGGCGGCCATGCGAGTGGGCTATGGCACGGCTTTTAACAATACACTGCGGTGTACGCGGCGGGCTGTCGCTGCGGCGCCGCGCGTGCTTGTAGTGTATGGAAGCAGAACCCCGTCATAACGCAACCACCGACACGTGTTCTAAGGAATCTCGAATTGCCACGTGGTCCGCAAGTCTTTATTTTTGATTACACCACACGTCACGCATCGAGATTTCATATTTCGACACGTCTTGGCAATTCCGCAATTACTACCAGCGTTCGCTTACCAATCCTCTTCTCAAGAACCTTACTCTGTCAGCTATATTCTGAATTACAACCACGTCCGGTGTAATTCTTCTTGCGCAACCACGACGCTATACTTCGAATACAACCTACTCCGCTATATAAAATACTTATACGCACCGACGGGTGCGGTGCTTGTAATTCCGAATTGAAGACGAGGAGAATTTTTAAATGCGGGGGCGAAGGGATTCAATAGCAGTCGGAAAGAGGATTACACTGACGTGGCTTGTATTCGGAGTGTGCGGACGGCCGAGTTGTTCTGGAAAGAATTAAGACAGCTTTGTCTCGACATATCGAACCGATCGGTGCAAGCAGCGCCGCGCCGTCTGCGTGTCGAAAGAATTAGGGATGAGTGTTGTAAATTGCGACCGACGCAGTCTAAATGAACCTGCCCACGCTAAGTTTGCGCAATCGTACGGGAGAACTTGCTTTACTGCTTAGCGGTGTAGATGCTCGTTAAAGTCAACGGCCACATCAGGGATTGTTCTTTAAATCAATGAATTAATATTAAACGGTCGTGTATACCTTATACTCGGTCCGTTAAATCGCACAATTCAGGGATTGTTCTTAACATGCGAAATATATACTAAATAGACTAGCTACCAGGGTCGATCGAGCTGGGCCGGCGCTGTCAGTTTTAATGTGATCGATCCAATCCGGTTTGCAGATACGTCTGAATAGTTCTGGTACAGTGGGCGCTTATCGGTTAGCGGAGTAGGAGCAGTGAAAGCGCGCCAGGGGAGGGGGAAAGGGAGGGGGAGGGAGGAGGAGTTTTAGAGTAGTAATAGTAGGTGGGGAGAAAGAGAAAGGGGAGAAAAAGGATAGAATAAGGTGGTGGAGCTGAGGGGCGGTAGATAGAAGGCTCACGGTGGAGACGGAGGAGGGGAGAGAAGTGCGTGGAGAAAGGAGGAAGGCGCCTATCGGCACAGAAGCGCCGTAGCAATCAGCTCGGTGACAGAATGGAACCATGGCGAGAAAGCTGCGATGTGTGACGGAGGAGGGAAAGGGATTGTATGTCCCAGGGCCAGAAACAAGACTAGAACCCGAGATGTAGCTGGGAGTGGACACGCGCTGGGGGCGCTGGGAGTGAGACCTGGTCCGCGGGTGATGAGAAGGAGGGAGGGGGAAAAAAGCTGCGTGGAGTGATAAGTACCGGAAGACAGAATAGGCCGGAGAACGGCCTGGGGAGCAAAATGGGACGCTAGATCGTTGAGATAGTGATGAGGGGGAGAAGGTATGGGAGGTATGCTCGAGTGCTGTTGCCGGTTAGGCCTAGGGAGTAGCGTAGGACCCGCACTCCACGTAAGTGAGGTGAGGCGGGCAACTAGCTGGGGTGCGAGTATGAGAGGAGTGATTCAGAGGAATTGGGGTTAGCCATCCCGTGCGGAGGAATGGAGTAATTCAGAGACGAGGAAGGAGAGAAGCAGGGGGCGGTGGAGAAGCGAGCGCGGAGGGGGGACTTGATGACATGCGACCGACAGAGAAGGAGGATGCGAGGGGAAAGAAGGAGCGGCTGAGTAGGGGAGCGAGGGCGAGAAGCTCTGGCGGGCAGTGGGGAGCGGGAGAGAGTAGGGAGGGCTGTGTGAGAGATTTCTGTGCTTGGTTGGTGTAAGCAAGGACGGAAAGCGGGATGGAAGCACTCACTGAGTGGAGAAAAGTAGAGGATAGGCGGAGAAGGAGAAGCAAGAGTACGGCCACACACCAGTAGAAGAGCGGGGCGAGAAGGGGTAGTTTGGGAGAATGAGGAAGGGGAACGCGGCGGTTACTGGGGAAAGCTGGGTGAGAAGGGTGATATAGAGTAATAGAAGAAGATAAATAGCATGGTGCGAGAGAGTCTCGTAGGAAGGGTGCGGGAGAAGGTTGAGAAGCGTTGAGGAGGACAGCGGGATGGGAAGGGCAGCTCGTAACAGTAACCGTGTCGTGTGACAGGGAGTAGGGGGATGTAACAGGAGAAACTGAAGCTGTGGAGAAGTGAGGAGGGGTTGCATGGGACATGTTGCACTGTTCGGTCATTGTCGTTGCGAGCAAAGGTGCGATGGCCTGTGATAAGCTGGGGGATGGAGGACTCGCACGGAGAAGGGAGAAGGAGATTCTCCCTCTGCCATCCACCACAGCTTCTTCGTGCTCTAACCTAGACTGCTATACCCGTTCGCTGCACGACGTTAGGGTAGCGTGTGGAACTGTCGACCCGGTACCAGTCTATATTATACCGCGCTAACTAAGCCTCGAATCTCGTGTAAACGCGTTTTAACCGGACTTAGCACCAACTAAGTACGGTATCAGCTAAGCCGTGTATACGTGTGAACGCAGCTTATATGTCACGGAATTTACCACTGTTAATTTGATAGATATTACAACAGACACAGGCTCATTTACTTCAAAATATATTAAATAATATGCAACATTTTTAAAATGCAAAAATGTATGTAGCCTTATCTATATATGCATAGTACTTTACAAGTACTAGTTATTACTAGTGCCGAAGACATGGTCTGGAAAACTAAGAATTTCATTGGACTGGCTTATAATTTACCGGGATTGTTTGGCGGTACTGGAGAATGCTAATAAACTCACCATACTTTTTCAGGACATTTGCAAACTTGCACACTTCTTTGAACAAGTTTCCATATGTGATTGATCCATCGTCATCAGGATCATTGCCTTCCCTAAAAAACATAATTTTCCACTCATAGACCTAAATTACATCTAGACATATTACTAGGTTAATTAGTAGCACAGGCACTTGGAACGTCTTAATAAAATAAAAAAACGTAAATAAACACGAAATGTATTTACTACCAAAGTCTTAATGTTTCTCTACTCTATTTCGCCTATTATTGCCGATAATTACCTGTAAATACCGCTCAAATGCTCATCGGCAACACACAAGTACACCGCACGCATGCCCTGTGCACAGACAACAAGAAGAGAATGAGAACTCTCTTCTTGTTGTTCAACTTGTTGTTTGTGCACAGGGCGTGCATGCGGTGTACTTGTGTGTTGCAGATGAGCATTTGAGCGGTATTTACAGGTAATTATCGACAATAACAGGCGAAATAGAGTAGGTATATAAACTGTAGGTACTACTAGTCTAGCTGATAAGGTCTATGTCTCCCTGGGTACTGCCGGAACTAACCCTGGGTACGGTCCGGTATACCGGAAATTAAGTCTTACTTATTAGCAAATACATTGATAATTACTCCACCTTCAAAAATTAATAGAAATGTGTGATGTTATTACTTTTTAATAGGTGTACAGCAAATGGAGGAACAAAAGTATGTAATGGACTATACATTAACAACTACCTAAACATAATTTATGGTCAGGTGACTCAGGTCACTGTGTTCTGATTTTTTTGGCTTTCATCCTCACCACTGGTATATTATGTCAGCTAGTTACCAAAGCTTAGCTGTCATGCTGAATTTCCCACATAGTGTATGTGACGCAAGAAAGAAAAGGCGTGCGACTATTATTCCTGGCAGATGCAGCATTGTTTGCCATTTTTCCTTCGAAATAGGCTAATTGCAGTCACTGCATGCATGATTACCGACATAGTACAGTACCTACTACAGTACTGATGGACTATGTACGTTGGCTGTGACTACTACTCTGAGTGATTGCACTATGATATCACAAACAACTTCCTCGTAACAGGCAGACACGTGTGGAAATCGAAGCATAACATTAACAGACTACTCTAGCGGGTGTGTTGTCAGCACTTCATTATATCTCATCATCATGTCATGATATTCTGCATCATGAGACGGCACGTCTGCCATTATGGTTTTTGTCAGTTAAAAATGGCCATTGCAAAAGACGTGACTCAATCCCAGACAAGGAATGAAGGACACATATGACTGAGGAAAGAAGGACACATATGACTGAGTACATACAAAGTACTTGTAAAAGTGCAAGCCCACCATCTCTTGTGCAACAAGAACTGATAACAGTAGTATACGTGTCTACAAAAGAAGATTAGGAAAAAGATTCAAGTAAACAGAAATAAATAAAAAATAAACTAACAGGGTTGCTGTTTATGTAGAGGACCCCTCCCTGATAAGTATATATATATACTTACTTGGTAGCAGATCAAGTAACTTAGCAGGGTTTCTTATACATAGGAGGCACAGTGGCGCACCGCCATTGTCAAATTTAACATCGCCGTTGTGAAAATGTTCCTTTATTTACTGATAAGTATATCTTGTATCTATATACCTATAAGTAGGGTCCCTGTATACAGAGAGTTGCGCCATGACAAGTCGGAAAAAATCGGTCACGTGATCGCTGGACGGCATGTTGTTTCCAAATGGATCCACACCGCTGCCGCTTAAGTACAGCGCTGTATGGATACGCTGTACAATGGTCCGTAGTAATTAATTAGACTAATCGTGCTTCAATAAACTCAAAAGTTACAGAGATTATAGCTAAGACATGTGTCTACGTGTACCTAGATTTCTAGAACTGCAAAACACATGCTACAGCTGTGAGCGAGTGGAGAGTGGAACGCATTTATCTTGTGAATTACAGTTGTCATTATTCTTCCAAAATGACTGGCTGCTGTGTTTACACTAAGAAAGTGTACAATTAAGCTATCATATGGCGCGAACGATTTGAGTTACATTTCTAGAAATCTAGATACATATAAACACATGTGTTATCTATGATCTCTGTGATTCTTGAGTTTATTGAAGCGCGAGTGGTTTAATTAATTAGCATGTATCTACGCGCGGTATCGCACAGGTTAATATACGCACGGTTATGGGCGGTAATAAAGTGTACAATTAAACTATCATATGGCGCGAACGATTTGAGTTACATTTGTAGAAATATAGATACATATAGACACATGTCTTAGCTATAATCTCTGCAAATTTTGAGTTTATTGAAGCATGATTAGTCTAATTAATTACTACGGACCATTGTACAGCGTATCCATACAGCGCTGTACTTAAGCGGCAGCGGTGTGAATCCATTTGGAAACAACATGGCGTCAAATCCTGAGTTGGCGCAACTCTCTGTATATAGGGACCCTACCTATAAGTATATCAATACATCCTGTATTTGAATCCACAATGCGCGTTTTTTCCCCAAACTGGCCATTACCTCCTTTGTCTAATTTTCCCTCAGAAGAAACCCTGCTTATAGTAAGTAACATTCTGCACAACAATAAAAAATAATATTAACTGCCCATCACGTATCAATGCCCAGAAAGTATTTTGAGCATGTGAAACATGTACCTTATAGTCCATGGGCCAGACATGCTCAAATGTACCATTCAGAGGGACCAGCCGGAAGTGGTATAGATTTGAAGCTTAGCCTAGGGTGATTACAAAAAGTCATGATAGCAATCCCGAAAGAGTAGCTTTCTTGTATATTTTTAGCTCGGAAATATCGTATATATAGTCGATTTGACGTTCTTATGTATTCAATACCCAACCTAGAAATATTCTTTCCTATGATGTTTTTTTTTGCTGATTTGTACTCATATGGGGTCCTAAAACAAATTCAGCTTGGTTGCCCAAATGGCAACTTTGGGCAACTCTAGTAATTTGCACAAATCCAAAATGGCCGCTGGACGCCATCTTCAAAATTTAACTTTTTAACCACTTGACCTAAAATGCCATGGTCTGTAATATCTTTTATAGGTGTTTTATGTGCGTAGAATCCACTTTTGACGTTATTTTTTCGGTTCAAGGTCAGGGTCAGAAGCTAAAGGTCAAGTCAAGGTCAAATTGTACTTTTCAGCAATGAACAATAAATGGAAATTTCAACTAAATTACATTTTAGTTTATTCATGCACAGGAATGGATAATCCTATATCATTTGACATATTTGGCGATGAAAAACAGTAAGAAGCCATATTTGAAACGTAATCACACGTGTTAACACGTAGGTTGTAAATTATTTAGCTGCAGTAGGCACAGTCATGGTGCATAGTGCATGAACATTGGCTTACTCCCACTCATCATCCAGGTAATCAGATTCAGAAAGACTATTCTCAACATCCACATGGCCTTCACCCTCATGATCTATACCCTTCACAAAATCCTCTCCCTCAACATCCTTATTCAACAATTCTCATCTTTAGCCTGAGCATCTCGTCTCTTAGTGTATGGATTTACCAGAGCAGATTCAGTATGACGTGCATGAAAAATGTTCTTTGTGACAGCCACATGCCTCGGTGGTGCCCAATACACCCATAACACCAGTAAGATTAACACATCTGTGTCATCACTAATCACACGGATCACGCCTTGTCCATAGTTAGCAGCCATAAGGACATAGGAGATCATGGTAATGTCGGCTTCATCGTGACCAAATACACCATCGTCCCGAGTAGCCATTGTTGCATTTTCTCCTACATTGAAGGTACACAACACGCTTGCCAGCCTCTGCTTGTGTGTTCTTGCTCTTCATGATTGCAGCTCTTTTTGGCAGATAACTGGTAATGGAGAGTTTAAATTATAGTCGATGATAACTTCACCGGCCCGCCGCATTCTCTCATGATCCTTGGCCGAGACATCTTGGTACTTGTCGAAGACAATGATTTTCGCGTCCATCTGGATAGCGACTTAAACGGCATTGAAATAGATGCGATCAGATCTGATAGATCTAGGGACTGCCACCATGTGGCCACACAATATGGTAGAACAGCTGTGAAACATCCACGATGACAATGTCAGGAGCTGATGGCAAGACCTCACGCCACCCACACGGCGTTTGCCAACCCTGACTTGTTGCCTTTGCGGAGACAACCATGCTCATCAATGAGTGATGAAGGCACCTGCACACAGCTCATGGCAAACAGAGGTCCAAGCTCCATCTGCCGCTGCTGACCAATCATCAATAGCCGGAGAAACATGTTCTCAACGTCTATTACTGGCCTGGCCTGGTTGCTCTTAACCTGCTTCGTGAGAACAGACATTTTCTTGGTAGGGTCGTAGAACCCATCAGGGAGACTGGCGATGTATTTGCTTTCCATCTTTCTTCCAATCACAATCGAATAGCAACATTCACACCAGTAGTGGGCAATTTGGCCAGTGACTGGGTTGTACAGATGAGGGCGGTAAATCTTCAAGTGGATGAGGTATTTCTCCACCTCTGCATCAATGAGATCACGATCATTTGCATCAAAGAACACGGGGGTGCCTCAACTCTTCATTGAGCTGTTTCTGTGCAGATTGACCTGGTGTAGATGCAGAGTAGATATAGTCCACACGGTCTGACACATGGACAGTGATAGGGAAGGCATCGATCCACTCACAAACTAACTCAGCAGACAGAGCTAGCTGGACTGGCTTTAAACATTTTAGTACGAAATGACCAAGAAGGCCTCCAGGATATAGGGGTACTTCCAACAATCAATGCTCCAGCGCATTGTCTGGTCCAGCGTTGAAGGTGACCAGAAGTCATTTGCCGAAGTTGCAGGAGGTCTTCTTTGCATGGTGCTAAACGAAGGTGCTTCAGATGACAGGATCGACGTTGGTTTCGATGACTACGGAGAATCCATCAAGAACGCAGAAAGGAGAGAAGAGAGGTGAAGGGTCAGGGAGCGAATTCCGCGAACATTCAAACCAGCACAACGGTAAAACAGTGGAGAGATTCCTGTTAGCTCAAAGACAGCAAGCTTTCATAGGTGTTGTAACAAGCAAATGGAAGAAAGACAAGTACGTAGAG